GGTTCAGCCTCATTCCCAGTTAAGTCAGATGAAGTAAACAGGCACTTTCATACAGAGGCTGCGTCACCCTCTCTCTACAAAATGGATAGGCCGGCTTGCTGAGGGTTCCCTACAGACGATAGTCTTATTTAATTTGGTGTCTTATTGGTGACAGAAATATGTTTGATCTGTAATTCCACATCTTTGCCCCAAAGTTTTAGTTTAAGACAAAAAAAGAAACTACCAATCAAGTTGCTAGCATTGTTAAGAAACGTGGTATTGATGGAAAGATAATCTATAGTTTGCACTAAAATTAAGACTCTTTTTGATACTTATTAAGCCTTCTAGATTTATGGCTCCTAGTTGAAGCCAGACACGATTCTAAGCAAATCTGGAAAATAAATACAGTTGGATTTTCTCCCTTTTCTGGTTCTCTCCCTTCTCACTTCCCTCCACACCCCTCATCCCAGTTACTTATTCATGAATGCCAACTATATGAACACACTGCTCCGCTGTGGATATATCATCTTAAATAAGTCCAATATATTACCTGTTCTCACAAAATTTACTACCCAAGGTAAATTTGGGGAGTAAGAAACCACAATATAATATGTTCTATTCTGTATTTAAAGTAATCACCAACCAATCTCTGCCATCATTTGATATTTACTGTCATTCAGGAGGTTTGGATTTGCAAGTCTGGTTATTCCTTCCCAGGCAGAATCACTATACCTGCCATTCATGTAGCTAGCACTAAGAATGTGATGCAATCCTGGATCAAGTAATGTATTATTAAATACCACTAGTTTTCCTCAACCCTTTCAGAATATTTAACACACGATTGCGTTCACTTTTTTATTTTTGTGTGTGTTTACCAGAGAGAGACAGAGAGAGGGATACAGAGAGAAAAAGTGAGAAGACATCTCCCAGGAGATGGACACACCAAAAACCCTCCTCCTCCATTTTCCTCTCAGGATTTTGAGCACTCATAGATATGTACCTGGCGTGTCTTCCAAGCTGCCAGGTCTGGGATTCAAACAACATAGTTGGTTGTGTGGGGCCCAGCTATTTTAACCACCATGCCAATAGATAGCCCAGTTTTTCTTTTTGTGATAAAAAACTTTTACTGAACTAATAATATAAATAGACAACTACTCACTAATATTGCTAATGATAAACATAAGCTATATAAAATATGTAAAGTATAACTTTAAAAGTATAAAACCCAATCAGTCTTCTGTATCTATGGGTTCTGCATCAGCAAATCCAACCAGCCAACCACAGAGACAGCAAGACCACACTAATTATTATGAAACGGCTCCCTAAAAGAGAGATGCTGAAATTTTCCTTTCTCTTAAGAGTACTCATAAAAAAAGGCAAATTCATACAAATAAGTTGAGGCCTTCTATCACATGATCTTGACTTTATCAATATTTGTTTAATTTAATGTATTGGGTCATTGGAAAAGTCATGACGCATTTTTGCATAGAAAAACACATCGTGACTTTTCTGATGACCCAATACCATAGCATTTGCATGTAACCTTCACACACCCTTCCAGATACTTTAAATCATCTCTAGATGCCTACAAATAATCATAGCATCAGATACAAGCCAAAGAAAAATACACAGATACACTTACTTCTTCAGCATCTCTCTTATAAGGAGTCACCTCTCCCCCAATTCGTAACAATTGGCTTGGCCCAGCTTCATCCCTGGTTGTTTGGATCTGCTTATGCAGGAACCTTAGATATGAAAGTGTGACGGTATGTTTGGTCTTTGTCCCCAGTTCCTGGCACAGAGCTTCTAAAACATTAGAGATTTCCAGAGTGATGGGTATGAAAGCGGCATGTTTTATTATTCATAAAAAGCTACTTTCAACCAGACCTTAGTTTATGCTAATGAGATTAATCTTGAAGGATAGGGGTTGGTTGCCAGAGAAACCAACTATGACATGAGAGAGTTGGAACTTTCAGCCCTACCCCAGGAGGGAAGAGAAGCTGGGGATGGAGTTATTCACCAGTGGGCAAGGATTTAACCAATCATGCCTAAATAATGGAATCTCCATAAAGACCCTTAACAAATGAACAGCAAGAGCTTCCAGGTTGGTAAATACATCCCAGGGCGGCATATCCCAAACTCGATGTGAGGGTGAGGACCCCAAAAGGAAGTCACTGTGCTTTTCTTTGTAATGAAGTCTCTGTGTTTTCCCTCTATGGTCTGATTGATGTATAGTATACACCCTTTTTACATGTTACTAAAGAATTTATGACTCCTTGTTAATAAGGTAGGAGATAGGGATATTGAGTACACAGACAAGATAAGACCCAAGATGGAGTCACAGTGGCTAAGTTTTCATAGCCAAAGGCTGGCTGTGCTGTGACTCACAGCAACTGTAGCTAAGGGCAAGAGTTCCTATTCAGTAACTCTATCCTAACTAGAAGTACAGGATGCTATGGTCTGCTAACCCCACAAAGAATAAGGTAATAAATCACTCAAACTACCATGTAACCATTTTCTAAAGCCCAGTTCCTTATCAGAGAGCCAGCCCATTGCTCTGACTGCTAGATAAAGACCCCTCCTCTCCAGCTCCTCTTTGGCAACCCATTCAGTCCCCCTTCCACTCCACTGCAAACTTTTCCCCTTCCCTAATAAATTCTGCTTTCTTCTTCCTTGTCCACATCTCTAATTCTTCATGAATGTAGGACAAGAACCAACCTGAGTATTGTGTCTGATCGTTCAGCACTCCCACCTCAGATGGGTGTCCCAACCCGCGGGACAGTCGAACAGGTTCCCTGGGGGAAGGAGTGAGAGATGGGACAAACACATGCACACACAATAGGAGGTGCAGATGATGTTGTCTTCTTCTGTCTACTTCTGTTTATTCAGGAAAAATGGCGAGTTATATACAGCTGGTGGGCACCAATTGGTTGCCAGAAATGCAAATGAGATAGAACAACATGAACCAATCATTGATGTGGGTGGATCTCTCCCGTTGCCTAGAAACCCAACCACTGGGGAGAACAGTTGGTCACATGATTTCTGAGAGACTGTTTGCTCAGTGAGGAAGTGAAGCCTAATGGTTTCCAAGATGGTGGATAGCTCAAGATGGCTGATAGCTCAAGATGGCTTCTTATGCAGTGCCCTCCACAAATGGGAACAGAAGCTCTTGCACTCAGGACATCTCTAGACTTTGCTCTATGTATTTATCTGACTATTTACTTGTATCCTTCATGATATCTTTTATAATGGACTAGTAATCATGAGGTGTTTCCCTGAGTTCTCTGAACAATTACAGGACATCATTAAATCCAAAGAAGATAATGTGGCCAAGCTGAACAGAAGTATGGGTAACCAGGCTATGGGTTCTGTAATAAGTCTGGGTGGCCAGTATCATAGTTGAATAAGATACCCAGTTGGTGTCTGAAGCGAATTGGAGAATTCTGTGATGGAGAAAATTTGCACATCTGGTGTTGGAAGTGTTGGGAATGAAGAAACAGTTTTCCCTTAGGCCCCAATGAAATTTCTCCCTGACTTAATTTTTAGAATTGCAACTACTTAGGCTATGCTCATCTAAGAGTGCTTTGGGGCTGTGGAGGGAAAGCTCACCTCTTTGACATGCTCCCTGGGATCAGAAACCTTCAAATTTTTAGCCCCTTTCTTCCCCAATCACCTAGGCAGGACCCACTGTTCCTTCCTATAATGGCCCAAACTATTTTCACTAAGCCTCCTCCCTGGAGAATACCCTTCTCCACTGTTGTCCTCACTTCTCAGTGGCCAGAGTCTCTGTACCTCAGAGTAATAAGATAACAAGAGACTGAAGTTACTTGAATATAAGGGAATTACCTAGTAAGAAAAACCATGACCTTTGAAGATCCCTCCCACCCTAAACCTCTCTGTGAACAGTCTATTTATTTGAGAGGTGGCTTACATAATAAAATAGTAAGATTGCTATAACTGTGAATTGTGTATTCAAATTATACCTTATCAAAGGATTATCTTTACTGATTGATTTTTTTGTTTGTTTTTGTTTTAAGATTTTTGTCATAGGCCACATGTGCTGGATAGGAGAGAGACAATGAGAAAGAAAGTGAGACATCACCTTCCAGGAGAGATGGCCATATCACAATCCCTTCTCCTCTATTCTCTCCTGGGATTTTGAGCATCCACATACACACACCCAGCATGGTTTTCAAGCATCCAGGTCTGGGACTCAGACCACAGTGGGTCATGTGGCTGTCCAATGCCTTAACCACGCCACCTTCTGGTCCCTACTAATTGGTTTTTAAAATGTATTTTTCCACTTCTCAAAAGAATTTGAGATGACACGGACAAAAAGGCACACATGATTAAATCATAACATTGCAAAAAACACAAGAGTAGAACAAGAGAGAAGGAAAGGAAAAATCTGATAATAAAACTTTTCAGAATCAGCCACACACCCACATTGTAATTGGGGAAATCTAGCCTGACAGTCATCTACAAACTCTAGCAGTATTTATTTGGTGTTGTATATGTCACTCCCACCCTCTACTCTATTGTGAGTTCTTTGGGAACTGGAAATATATCTTAGTCAACATTTTTTTATTAGAGGAGCCTTGGCAAAGTGCTAGACACATGCTGGATTTTAATAACATTTCTGAAATTCACGCTGGGTTCCTAAATTCCCATTCAGTTTCTGTTAAAACCTATGCTTTTATTTTTTTAGCATTTTTAACATGTAATTTAAATATGTTAAAATATCAGTAGAGCCATTTTGAAACTTTTATGTAGTTTTCTATGATGTTAGCATGTTAGTTTATAAAGAATTAAGATAGGACTCTTCTCTAAGTGATTTGCATTTTCAAAGGCTGAGGGAAGATACCCTCCCATTTCTGTACTCCGTCAGTTGTGATGGCCCAGGAGGCCCTCAGATAACCCCTCTACCCACCAGAGCCTTGTCACATAATGCAGAGAACACAGTCTCCAGGGTGTCATGCTCTGCCCTCCATCCTCGCCACCATCGCCTTTTGTTGACAGGCAGGGAATCGCCCCCACTTCTACCTAGAAACATTAATAAATGAAGAGCCAACATTTGGAATCCAAAGATTGCCAGTCCCTCTTGGAAGATGACTGGTCGCCGTAAAATAGCATTTTACATGTACATTTCATCGTGTGCAGTTTACCATAAAGCCTCATAGTCTCTTCAACATTTTCCAGACAATTCCCAGATTTCGAGAAAAACAAAATGGCAATGCTTTTCATTATTCAGTTAGTCTTCTGAGAATGCAACATTTCTGTCAAGGTAAAGGTAATCGAACTTATTGTTTACTATATTGTTTCCTAATTTAAATATCACTAATATCATCTGTATTTTGCCAAGTTATGTCAATCCTCAGAAAATTGTTAACCCTTATGAACTGTTTAACATACCTTTTTTAAAAAAATAATTATTTTATCTAACTTCATTTATTTATTTATTTTAATTTGACCGGAGAGGAGGAAAGAGAGAGAAAGGGAGGCAAGGAAGAGAAAGCAAGCCGCCAGGTCCAGGAATTGAAACGTAGTCAGTCATGTGGGAATCCAGTGCCTTTAACCACCATGCCACCTGCCAGCCCCTAATTTTTAACATATCTTAAAATAGCTCTGCCCTGCACATTTTAACAAATATATATTTTATTTAAAATGACTGTTGATTTTGTGTCCACCTTTCATGGAGAATTTCTGTGACATGAATCTTTGTTTCGTTCATTCATATTCTCCTAAGCACCTAGAAAAGTGCCTGGCACAAAATAGTAATTAATTAAATATTTGCTAGCCATGTTCTTTCTCTTCTTGTCCCATTATTATTTTCTTATCTTCACCACTGCAAAAGGAGCAGCCTTTTATTAAGCCTCCCAAAATAGCTGAATAGGATTGTGAGAAGATTTTCATTTTTATAAAATAATGTAACAAAACCCCCAAAATTCTCAAGTGGGAACAAAAGTGTGTAAGTGGCCCCAAAACAGCCACATTCCGTTCATCACATGAGCATGGTCTTGAGAGAAAAGGAGAGAGGATGTAGAGACCCCACGACCCTCAATCTAACTCACACCCCTCTTCTTTTTTTCTTTTTTTTTTTTTTTTGGGCAGTTTTTTGCCGCCAGGTCCAGGAATTGAAACGTAGTCAGTCATGTGGGAATCCAGTGCCTTTAACCACCATGCCACCTGCCAGCCCCTAATTTTTAACATATCTTAAAATAGCTCTGCCCTGCACATTTTAACAAATATATATTTTATTTAAAATGACTGTTGATTTTGTGTCCACCTTTCATGGAGAATTTCTGTGACATGAATCTTTGTTTCGTTCATTCATATTCTCCTAAGCACCTAGAAAAGTGCCTGGCACAAAATAGTAATTAATTAAATATTTGCTAGCCATGTTCTTTCTCTTCTTGTCCCATTATTATTTTCTTATCTTCACCACTGCAAAAGGAGCAGCCTTTTATTAAGCCTCCCAAAATAGCTGAATAGGATTGTGAGAAGATTTTCATTTTTATAAAATAATGTAACAAAACCCCCAAAATTCTCAAGTGGGAACAAAAGTGTGTAAGTGGCCCCAAAACAGCCACATTCCGTTCATCACATGAGCATGGTCTTGAGAGAAAAGGAGAGAGGATGTAGAGACCCCACGACCCTCAATCTAACTCACACCCCTCTTCTTTTTTTCTTTTTTTTTTTTTTTTGAGAGGTTTTTTGTTTTTGTTTTTGTTCTTTTGCTATAGGGCGCGTGTGCTCGCCAGACAGAGAGAGACAGAAAGCGAGGAATCACTCCCCAGGGAGATGGCCACGCTGCAATCCCTTCTCCTCCATTCTCCTCTTGGGATCTTGAGCATGCACGCACACGTGCCTGGTGTGAGTTTTAAGCCACCGAGTCTGGGACACAAACCGCGGTCAACTACGTGGGAGTCCAGTGACATAGCCATTACGGTAACTGCTGATCCCACTCACACCCCTCTTAAACTACATTTGGCTCAAACAACTAAAGGAGACAAGGATTTGGAAAAGGATTAAACTGGAGACCAAAATTCAATGAAGTGATTGGAAATAAAAGCCTCTGAAGTTGAAGGAGCTTAGAGACTATAGATAGACAAAAGAGGAGAGAGAGAAAACAAAAGAGACCTACTGTCATCACTGAGGTTCCGTGGGAAGAGGTACATCAGCAAACAGCAGGTGACAGTGCAGTAGAAGGAGGACGCGGCTGTTGACAGGCAACGGCAAACCGATGTGTTGGGCAGTGTGATGGACGATGTCGAAAGGACACAGTGAGCCCGACTGCATGGAATGGGCATTTGTACAATTTCGCTCAGGCAGACAATGGTTTCAGGACTAGGTAAGCCAAGAATGATTGTAATACAAGCTGCTTACACATTTATTGAGCACTTTCTCCATATTTTACATGTGTTGTCTCATTTAATTCTTATAATTCTGTGATAAAAAACTATTATTTTCTTCTTTATGGATGAAGAAACTTAGGTAAGAAGGATAAGAAAGTAAGATGTCCAGCAGCTCCCAGTCCAAGCTGTCTGAATCGAGAGCTGCAACATGGGCCACTCAGGACACTCCGTTCCATGTGCGGAAGAACGGTTCATGGTAGAGTCCAAAGAGCAGGCCACAGGCAAGTGGAAAAAGCAGGTAGCAGGTAGGGTGCTGGGTCCAGACTCAAAATAGGCTGCAGAGGCAGTGAAGGATGGGAATGATGGTAAACTGAGGCAGAAGATAGCATGTTAGGGCAGGCCACATAGCACTCATACCTAGTCTGCTAAATACCTGTGTATGGTAGGACACCTGCCAGGTGCCAGAGAATTCAACTAAGCCTATCAATGTCTCCCAGGCCTGGGTGGGATGTGGCAAGAAAGAGGCTGAGCCTGCAGTAGTAGGACTGGAAAAATGGGCTTACCAGG